CCCCCCCCCCCCCCTCTCTCTCTCTCTCTCGTGATTTGGGACACAAGCAAAGGAAGCTCAGTGGCAGAAGACCAATTTTATCAAGCTCCTGTTCCCAGTGTCACACACGACTTGCATGGGAATCGACTGCGCGTCTCTGCGATGGGAAGAGGCGTGAGAGCAGAGTTGATCGCTTGGCTCGCAAGTTTGACGTGCTTGCGGATGGCGACGCGAGGCGCTGCCGCGCGGAAATGTTGCTTGGACCCCACCCATCTTGCGCGGTCCACATCAACTTGCGTGCTTTTGAGATCGAGCTTCTTTCACAGGGCGGTCTAAGCCGCTCCGACGTGGAACGAAGAGAGGAGCAGCTCGGCGCAGCGTGGTTGCAAAGCGCAGTTTGAGCCAGCGGGAAAAGCGCGCTGCCACTCGGCTCGTGACTGGGCGCGCGGTCTACTGTATCTGGCGGGTCGTGCTCGGCTGCAACTTGCTCCGAGGCCTGCGTTCGACGGGCCACCGAGCTTGGGTGTTTCGAGTTGGGCGGATCTGACGAGGTGAAGCTCGAGCTGTCGATCGCGACGGCGTCACCAAGCGGGGTCCCCAAGTCTTGGCGGCCACACGGCCCTAGGGCAAGTCTCTGCATTTGCCCTCGCCCGTCTGTTCACCCAGGCGTCTTCTCGCACTGGTCCTGGCCTTTCTGTTGACGGCGTTTCTTGAGCCAACAATGCTGCCGCCGCATCGACGGCGAGCAATTTGACGCGAATCGACACCGAATCAAACCAGAGCTCAACGTGGGGCGGGGGTTGGCGCAAGTTGCCAGCTCATCCAACATCCTGCAGCGATCAACGTTTGCGCCTGGAGTCGTCCCGTTCTTCATGCGGCTTTGGAGACTGTATACTGATCATTGCATGAACTGTTGCGGCAAATGTCGAGCGCTCTCTCACGACTCACCACTCCCCCACCCCAACGCAGCAACCACAGTGCAGTCCAAGGTAGGGTGTCGAGCAACAGCACACGGCGTCTCCCTGAAGCGTGGGTCGTACTTGTGCGCCCAAGTCGCAAAGATCGGGTTCATGTTCAGCTTGGCAGACAGTCACAACGGCCTGGATACTGTAAGCCAAATTATGAACAATTCCCAAAACGCGATTAACTATACACAATGCTAAGTGGACTACTTTTCCTCGTGGGGAACGGGCTGGGGCTCGTCCATGGGGTCGTTCCAGTTGATGTTGTCGGGGGTACCCTCGATGCGATCCTTCTTTGTGCCGAAGATGGTGTCCCAGAGACGGGTCTGTTTGCCGTAGTTGCCGGACTTTTTCCAACCCTGTCGGTGGTGGATGTCGTGGTCCTCGAGGCAGAGTTCGGCGCCAAAGTAGCGCAGGATCCAGGTGCTGGGGTTTTGGAAGTAGCCGCGCAGACCGGAATGGCCTGCGGCTTCGATGAAGAGGATGTAGCAAGTGCTGAACCACCAGGTGGCAAAGTTGATGCGCCAAGTGAGCCAGGCGAGGATGGGGATGCCGACCATGTCCATGAACTCCTGTTCGTGGTCGGCAAAAGCGCCCAGTGCGGCGATGGGGTGCTTGGTCAGGTGGTGCGTCTTGTGCAGGGGCCAGAGAAAGTCGACCTCGTGCATGAGACGGTGGTACCAGTAGAACCAAAAGTCGACGGCGGTGGAAAACATGAACATGTTGACCGGCATCATCAGCACCGTCTTGATATCGAGCAAGGGTGTAGAAGGGTCGTACAGGTAGGGGACTGCGATGAGGGATCGAGAAACAACGACCATGAGAAGACCGATTACAACACTCCATGTGCTGACGTCCGGAACTCCGTCGCGCGCGGCGGCACCGTCGAACGTGCCGAACTTGTTGGCCATATCGTTGCACCATCGAAAGACGCCGTTACCAAACCAAATAAAGTACGCGAGGTAGAGCGTGGTGGCGACGTAGACGGGAACCTGGATGCCGGTCAAGTACGTGAACAAGTGGTGCACGAGCAAGGGTGCGGCGGCTTGCGGGGCGACCAGGCGGTGCATCTTCCACACCGGGTATACGGGCACGGGCGTGGATTTGGGATACACCGGCGGCGGTGGACGTGGGCTTTCAGAATTCTCGGGTGCGATGCCGAGGGCAACCAGCATGCGCTCGGCAAAGTCCCACTGCGACGAGGGCTTGAGGTGCCACGAGGAGGTCATGCGTCCTCGGTTGGGCACCTTGTCCTCCATCCCTGTGGGTTTGGTTCTAGATCTGGTGGTGGTGGTGGTGGTGGT